CCGCGGGCCCATCCGGCGGGCGCCAGGGTCCGTCCCTTTCCCGGCGGGGCAGGGCACACGCCAGGCGGCACCCACAGGCATCCGGCCTCTCCCCGGATCCACCCACGGAGGAGGCCGCCCGTGACCCCACGGCTCCCCGTAGCCTTGCTGCCAGGCAGCCGGCAGAGGCGGCACCCGGGCGACCAACGCAGCCTGGTGCCCGGTGCCCACTGCCCTAAGGGCTGCCAGTTGCTGGTGGCGGGGAAGGGCCCCCCTTGCCGCCCGCGTGCATCCTGAGCCGCTTTTGCACGTAGACTCCGTACTCACGTGACAACACGGGGGCACTGCAGCTGCCCCCAGACGCACGGTTGGTAATCTGGCTTCACGTACGTGTCCACCCCGTCCTCCACCACACAGCTCACACTGCGTGACACGACGTAGGCGCACCAGTTCCTGCAGCGGGGAGGGCCGGGGGTGGAGAGAAGAGGAGAGCAAGTGCGTAAGGGTCCATCGCAGGCCGCTGCTGTGCCCTCCGCTCCTGCCCTCCCAGACCTTTGCCCTCCGCCCAGCCTTGCAGACACCCGACCCCCACCCTGCCACCTTCTGGACCTAGACACCCCAGAGAGCCCCCCGCCCATTTTAGGCTGGTTGGGCGGGGAGGGGCAGGACGAAATTGCCCCGCAGCTCTAGAAGCAGCGAACGACGGAGGTGGCTAAACGGCTGTCCTGCAGGGAGAACTCTGCTCGAAGGGCTCTTCCCAGGCCCGGGAACTGAGCGCCCCCCAGCTTGCTAGTGGGAGGCATTTTATAGCCTGCATTACTAAACCATAAACCGCCCAGGTGGGGTTGGCTGTGATCTGAGTGGGGAGAGGAAGTTCCCCTGAAGGGGCAAGATGGGGGGGCCTCCTCCCTCTCAACCCCCCTCCCGGAAAACAAGCAGAAGGAAACGAAGGAGGAAGGCTTGTCCCCAGCATTGCCTCTACTCAAATCCACGTCTGGGAAGTTCTTGCAAGGCGTCCAAAACTTGCTGGGCCAAAGGAAACACTGGCATCTCCGAAACCGTGGTCAGTCCCAACAGAGAGGGTGAGTCGGAGTTCGTGGTGGGAAGCCCGGCGGGCGTGTCTGTGTGTGTGGACCTCTTTTCATGTTGAAGACGGACAGGTTTCTTGCCACAGGAGTTTCTGCAGCCCAGGGTGCACTTCGCCTGGCCTCGTTATTCTTACAGGATGGGCCATCAAGTCACTGCCGGGTTTTGGCAGCCCTGGTGAGAATCAGTGACCTGCAAAAGGCCTGTCCTTAAAAGCAGCTCTCGCAGACTCAAGTCGGTCCATCTCGTATTTGTCCGTCTGGCTTCTTTCCTGCCGCCTTCCACCTTTCCCAGCAGGAGGGTCTTTTCCAGAGAAGAATCCTGCCTTCTCGGGAGGTGCTCAAAGTCCAACAGCCTCTTCCCAAGCAGGGCAAAATGAGGCCTGCCAAAGGTCCCGGCTTCTTCAGCCCTCACGCCATGCTGACAGGGCGTTGGCCCCAGCCTTTCGAATGCCACTGGCCCCCTTTCTCAAATGAGGGAGCTTGCCTGGGTCCAGCCTTGCCTGGAGCCACTTCCAACCTGGCCGGCTCAAGTGTCCTATTTGGGACCCAGGAGTGGGCCTCAGAGGATTTAAAAAAAAAAAAATACAAAACCAAAAAAAATAAAAAAAAAACCCACACACACAAAAAACCCCAAACCCAAACTCCGGCGCTCTGGCTGTTTGTTCTGGGCAGGCAGCCACCTTCCGCTTTCCCTCAAGCCACCAGTCCTCCACCCGGATTCCTTCATTTCCCCTCCCCCACCCCATCACCATCTTCCTCCAGAATTCTGGCTGGCTTCACTGGTCAGGAGAAGGCAGCATCCAGAAAACGCTCC